ATTGCACAAGGGTGGTTCACAAACCACAACAATGTAGAAGCTGATAGTAGGAGAACCATCACCTACAGAATGAAACGTAATCAGTTTATAGGTCAATAAAACCCTTTCAGTACGAGTCTATGAACATTTTTTAGGCACTATCACTCGTGCATTACAAAAACATAGACTCTAAAGTAAACAAGCATGCCGTTTCGTCGTCTCCATTAGCAGCACCATCATCTGAATTATCATAAGGCAGTAACGCACTAGTTGCGGTACCTAGACAGCTTCGTGATAACCAGTGATTGCGTTCGAGCCACACATGCTTGTGCTCCCTGTACTCGACCGTCTTTTTGTACTTCTGTATGCTCTTATGCCGACCAACAATGCACCTAAACAGATCCGGAACAGCACAGACAAATCGTTTTTTATACATTAACGAACAGGACCGTAATTTATAAAACGCTTCGCGTGCACGCGACACGAACGATTCGGGTACGCATAAAAACCGAAGAAAGTTAGCAGTCTTACCACCCACTAGCGCAAAAACTTTGCGTGAATGCGTAAAGAGGAATTGCTTGCTGTTGTGGAGGCGTCTACCTTCTAAATTAAATTGGAGGGCGTGCTCTGCGCTTCCCCTTTGATATAAGAAATAGCGATTCCGTAGGGCGAAGCTATGAGTGATTGTGTGCAAGGTTAAATGCCAAAATCAAAAATGGTACTTATTATATGTGTGTGTCTATTGATTACGCGACTACGTGTATCTTTTACGCAATAAATGTAATCTATCCTTTCCCTACCACAAATTTATGTAGGCATATCCAAATTCACTATTTGGCTATGTCACTATTAAAAAACATGAACGTGATCGGCTTTAAAATTGATCGAACGATGAATACGATTACAAAGTCAAACTCTGGACGCTGATTACTTAAGGCCGATCGCGGTGCCCAATTATGCTGTACTTGTTTTAATACGTACACTAACAGCATCATACTCATTCCTCAGTGACTGTTGAACTAAACTGTTTTGCATTTATCTTTTGTTCTCCGAGCAACTCATTTTTAGAGCTTGCTTGCAGCAAAGTAACTTTTGCTTCTCCGTCAAGGTGATACTTTTAGACGCATAGAGTCTCTTGATGTATCAAACTAAATTGGTGTTTACTTATAGAGCCTTAAGCCTTACAGACTTGGTGAGACTCAACTTTAAGTGTTTGTATAAGCCCTTAAGCTTCTAGTTCTGGTTCAGAGGACGAAGACTACAAGGAATCACGTGGCACTTATAACCACGAGTACTTAGCCTTAACACACAGGATTTTGAACTTTTACGAAGAGAGACATCTTGGAAAAACACGTGCCGGAAAACTGATTATATGGGATACTGCATACGTTTACTTATTTATAACGATAATAAACCTTACTTACTCCTTTAGACTATAATATTATGCTACCTACTCAAATCGTCCTCATCGTAGTTCTTCTTGAGTATCACACTAAAACTATGTCGCCTCTATAAGAGACCATATGACGATAGATATCCTCTTACCACAAATGATAGGGTACGGTATCAGCGCCAGGCGTATGTGATACAAAAGCATGCCTTACCAGTGATACAGATTTCTTTCTGTGTGTATGATACCAAAGAAACAAATTACCACTATCATTTGTGTGTACCCGTTACGTAAGTCCTTCGCTATCTTCCGATTCGTAGAACCTGACAAATAGCAGGTTTAAAACACTATGGAACAGCAGTCACTGACGAATTTTTTTGTTTCTGTTAATGTACGTATCAATCCATTACAGTAATCTAAGGTAACGCGGATAGCCTTTGTTAATGAGCGTCTAGCATTTGACCATGTGATCATATTCACCTTGATCGATTACAAGTCATCACAAGCGTGAGCCACAATGGTGACCTACCCAAGAAGTGAATTCGGATGTGCCTTCTTACATTCTTCCATCCGATATGTATTCCCCCGATAAGCTAGGTCCCCTAATAAGACATTAATTTCCGCGTCCACGGACCTCGTTCTATATCCAATAGGTTATGAGTTTTGACTTTTGATAAAAAAGGAAAATCACTTTAACAACGAACACTTGTTTTGTATCATAAAAAGGATGAACTACTTAAACTACATGTCGAGGTTCGTTTGGGTGAAGAGAGTGTTGCGGACATCCAGCTGGAGGACGCGAAGGACTTAATTAGCAGCTTGGTGACGTTCCTGTGACACGTCGAGTAGGGAGCAGGCAATATCGTGGAGGTTAACCTTCTCGATTCTGATGAATTTACCTGCAACAGGTGCCGCATCTTCAATATTTTCCTCCTCATCATCTGCCTCCAAAACCTTTTCTAGAATCTCGTAGTTGGTTGTCGCAGGCTGGGCAGTCTCATCTTAATCGATGAGATTGAGAACTTCGAAATCTTCAAGGGATCTAAGAAACGCAGCTCAATAAGCTGTGCTATCAGCCCTTACTCCAGCTCACTTTCTTTCTCCTCGACCTCCGTTGCGCAATCTTTACTCTTTTCTACATCCACCGTACTTTTGAATACCGATTTAGTAAAAAAAAGCTCCGTGTGGCAGAAGCAGTTAGCAATAAAAGTGGTTGAAATCTCGTTCCAGGCGGCCACCGACCAGCGCATGTCTGTAAGTTGGACTACTTTGTAGAGATGAGAACCCTCCCTACACTCGTCACAGTCGATCGCATTCTGCACATGGTAACGGTGATACAGTCGCTTTTACGCTGCGATGACACCAGCATCCATCGACTGAATCATGGAGGCCTAATGTGGTGGAAGCAGCTGGAACTTGACGTTAGTTAACGTTAGGTCCTTCTCCATATGCGACGGAGCATTGTCAATCAATACAATGAAAAATCTACATATTGTACTAAAACAATACCATCTTAGAATAATAAGTTTTCGATCCGTAAATGGCTAACGCACCTTCATTATTATATGTAAATATACAAGCCATTTCAGGAAGAATACGCCTGTCATCCAAGTCTTTGTGTTGTTGCGAACGCGTGATCCATGTGGTTGACCTAATGTCTTGCCGAAGCAGCGGGGCTGCTTGGCGTTCCAGATAAAATTAGGCTGCAGCTTGTCAGAAACATCATTATTTGCAGGGTGCGCAATTGTAATCCCCGACTGCAAAGTATACCAGTGGATACCTCTGTGTTAGTATATGGCTACAAGCATTCTGAAATATACCCACCTTGTATTTTTTGTGTCCTTCAATTGTTGGTGTGCAATAGTCCTGTCAGGTGTCATGCTGTAGTATAGTCCTGCAAATTGATGTTTTGTCAGACTCGGTTTCAATAAGATAAATAACAAATGAAACTTACCGATTTCATTCATGTTCCAAACATCACACAGAACATACTCTACGATGACCTTCTTTACATCAGGCAGAGATTTTTGCATAGCCTCCACTTCCACCCAGCCGCTTACACCGTAGATGTCGATAGCGCGGAGCACGTGACGTTGCTAGAATTTATAATTTTATCCGTGCGAGAAAGTAATGGAGTCGTCAGGAGTACCAAGCGATTGAGCAAGCCGATGAGCCTTCGCATAGATGATATTCCCACGATGATTGTACCGCGGTATTAGCAATGCAGGACCCAAAGAGGCACAGCTTCTTCTAGTATGGGATGTTGACCAGTCACTTCGCATTTAAGCTGCTTGGATCCATACTCTCCAGATTAGACCGCTTTCGAGAGATCTTGCTGATTGGTGCCGTGGCAGCGTTCTGACAAGGCCGAACTCCACCGTAGTCCATTTCGCCACTTCCGTCTAAGATAAATCTGACACTTATCCTTGTGTTTGCATATTTGCAGACGTTGTTCATTGGTAAGACGGATCTGCGACATTTCATACTGCTCAGATTTCACACCAACAGGCAAGACACGGTTATTGAATTGTGTATATTTAGCTCTTCCTGTATAGTATTTGTTAGCTCAGACGAAAAAAGATATGGGTGCGTCTTATGCTATTAGAAAGGTAGTACACTAGCCAGGAGCCTGACAATTTTGTTCTTTTCCAGCAGTGAAAGTCTTAGCATAAAGTTTTGGTTTTTAATAAAGAAGGTGGGGGTTGGCTTGGGTGCCCAGGTTTGCTTTTTTGATCTTTCAAATCGATTGATCCTCCTTATGTCGTTATACAAATACCAATAAGTTGATATCTCTGCTAAGTTATGGGAATTATCGTCCACCGTACCCGTAACTTATTAAAGGGAAGACTGTCCGTGTGTGGTAGGGACAGGCTAGATCGCACTAAATACATGGAAGCTACACCTAACCGCGTTATTTACATAGACATATAAAGATGTATACGATTCAAAAGCTCGGCAATTAATCTTGCGCACTAATAGCTTCACCTTTCGGGCTTGCAATAACGAGCGTTCGAAATTATCTGCGGGTGTAAAAACTTCGAGTCCGCAAACATTTAAGGCAAAGCTTGACATGATCTTGCACTAAAGAACACAAATGAACGATTGCACACTAGACCTAATTAGGTCAAAGAGATGCTTAAAACCTGCTATTGGTGATACAATACCCATAAGGCATGTCTAAACATAAGCCAATCATGTAGCGTTGTACGAAAGTGAGGGAATAGTACCAGAAAACTGAGGGGAAGTTTTCATTTCCAGTTACTAAAATTAACTTCACCACAGTATGCGTTCGACGCCACCATAATCCAATAGCTAATAATCTCTGAAACATATCGGATAGTGTCCACCGAGACTAAAAGTAGCAGAGGAGGGACTGAATAGAATTAAAGGGTAAGAGATTACGGATAATTGATATTCCAGATTCATCCGGACGTTACCGGACGTAATCATGCACTTGCAGCTGCCGCGCGGATTATCCTTCTCATTTCTTGGCTCGGTCCAGACGTTACCGACGTAATTACGCACTAACATCTGTGAATCATGCCACTGGAGTTTTGAACTGATTGTACAAGTCATTAATCGTTTGAGCTCATCAAATCCGACGTCTGCACGAACCGCACAACCTCCAGATATGTGGTTTGCACCCTCTTTAATCTCGCTCATTATTGGGGCCGCACTCTTCACAGAAGCTTCCCTATCTGCGGCTCTTGATGTTCCGAAAGTTTTGGCAAACATCACGTTCAACGCCTCTGTGAGCCAACACGAGATCGGTGCGCCTGAAACGGCAGTCAGTGAAGAACGACTGCATCTTGTTGAGGCGGTTGCTGGCGTGATCGAGGGCCTGTTGCCCTTCCGTCGGAATCCGGAGGTACAGCGGCTACTAGAAACACTTGGCGAGCTTGATTCGATTGAGGCGGCTTTCACCAAATTAGGCCTCGGATCCATCCAACTTCAGTCAGATGTTGCTATTAGATTGAGGGCCTTTAGCGTCAGCGCGAAGGCCGTTGCCCTCAGTAAAGAGACCATCGCTGACCTCGAGACCGCAATTGCGGACCGGAAAAAGTTACGGTTCGACGACTTGAGGATTCCGGTCAGCAGAAGCGCCGTGGCTGCTACGGACGATGAACTAGAACGTTTATACGTTGCGCTTACTGTCAATAAGAATGCCCTTGCTAACAGCGAGAGCGTCCTTGCTGACAGCAAGAGGGCCGTGTCCAACTATTTCGAACGTGCCGAGTTCAGGGCCTGGTATGAGCATGCTAAAAAAGCGTCACGTGTGGGTACACCAGAGCCTACCATGTACAACGTTCTGTATGACACGTTCGATGTGCGAGAAATCGCAGTAATGATCGAGTCGTCGCTGTCCGAAGGCAGTGCAATAGGTCAAAAACTGCAAAACGAGGAGTTTGACACTTGGTTCAATGGCTTCATAATACTGGACAAAGCGAGTGCGTGCAAAATGCTCCGTACTGCAGAGAATGTCATTGAGTTTAAGATCCCTGATTCGATGATCGATAAAATCGGGGAAAAGTTCGAGCTCTACTGCAAAGATAAAAGGAAGGGGACGTTCATCTAGCTGCGAGAATAAACGCTTCTCGATCGCTTGACTTACACGCAAGCGCGCGAGTTTCATTTCGATGTACTTCGGCTCATCATATTGACACTTCATCTGTCTGATCCTGATAGCACGAGGCGCGCCGACTTCAAAGAAGCCTTTTCTAGGCACTGTCTAACCCAAAGCGGCGACTCGTTCGAGCATTATTGCAGCCGCTTCGATGGAAAGGAACTGCATATCACCAAAAGTCTCATCTTCGTGCCACTTCCATCGCTCTCATGCCTGTGAGATGCTCACAGCCTGTTGTCAATACGTACTTGTACGAGGCGCTGAGATCTGCCTCTTTGGAGCTGCAGGTGTGTGGGCCGCACAGCTGCAAACGCTCGCACTGTTGTTCAGTGCTGTGGTGGGCTACATGGTGATTGCCACGGACCTTTTCGAGCCTTTTCTAGTTGACATCATGACTCGCCAAACCATTAATCTGCTCTTCTTGCTCGTGACCATCCCCTAGTGTCCGCTAGGGACCACCTACGCGCTTCTTTTCGCCAACACTGCTGTGCTGCTTTGACGGTGCACGCCTCGTACTTGATATCTACATGATGCTCAAGACGCCAATGACGTTCTAGCTGCCACGTCAAGGCATGGAACGTTGTTGTTTAGGCCACGACCGCAAGTGTCAACCATTTTGAACGGCGATTACGGTCGTCATCCTGCTGGCCGCACGCTTGCTCTCACTGTTCTCGCATACTTTAAACACGGTCATGGCTTTCGTCGGATACGTACCGGGCCTTTCACTTGCTCTCACCGTCCTGGACTCTTCCTGTACGAAGATGCGCGTGGTTTTTGTTGTGGAATGCGACGCTTTCTACCCACTGCAGCTGGCACTTATTTTTGCCTACACTGTGGCATCTTCCGCCAGCTCCGCTCACCTCTATGTTGTACAATGCGCTCGTAAGCTGTTGAGATGGTGGACGGCAGTCGCGCTTGACAAGTGAATAAAGTAATACAGACTAACAAGTGCACGCACCGCACTCAAGACAAGCTGACAGAAGAACACAATGGCATCGTGTTCACCTGTTGAGTAAGTACCACCGCGAAGCGTGCATGCCACGTGGCTGTCACGAGTCAATTTCAGGTTGCAGCCTGCGAGCTTCTTACCAAAGTTTTGCGCTCATTGTGCTTCAGGCTTTCAGGATCTTGACAGTGCAGCGAACAGCGCAGTGTGGACCTTAACCATATTCCTTGGGCGCCGTATGGTTGCTACCGGAAGTTAAGGTGCGGATCCCGGATGCCTTCTCCGAGAAGTTCTCGCAAACCGCGTGGCCGCATAAGATGCCGTCTTCCAATGGTTCCAACCAAAGATCTTTGGCATTGCGACAAATCTTGCAGCCACCCGCACGCTATCCGACGGCGCGACTTGTGAGCTGCTCGGGATGAAAGTAATGAGCATGACGGTCCGTTACATTCATCACGATGCCTCGCGATACCAATGCTGCACCACTGTTGCCCAATTGACAATCTACGAATACCTGCAAACGCGTCGTGCCGCCCACCAGCTCATTCAGTCGTGGGATCTCCGCGAGCATCTCTAGCGCGTTCAAGTGTATCTTCTCGGTGACAACATGACAGCGCGCTTTGCTGGTTCTTGTGGACCTACATAGTCAAGATACGAACAGACGGCACGACGCTGACGTGAGCTGCGGCGTGCCAACTAGCCGGTGATCAGCTAAATCGACCCGACGGATGAACCTGCTCAGAAATATGCAGCGGCTCTCGTTTGAAGCTCCATGGTATTGGAAAGCTAATGCTCACTGGGTCCAACTTCTTGATCAACGGGTATTCATGTGGAGTCAATGCCGTCGTTGTGTTCGCGTTCGATTCGTGCTTAATCTATGAACGCGACCTTCAATGTGGCTGCAGACCATATCGGCACCTTCAACTGAGGCGAGCCTCGGCTACATGGAAAGTGTTTAGTTCATCGCGCGTGCTTAAGCGCGTCGTTCAATACTCAGTATCGGGACCGACATGACGGAGTGGGAACTGTCACGGTACTCAATTCCCATTTGCAGGACACAATCGAATCGATGGACTCTAGATATATCGAGCTCACTGCTCAAACCGACAAGTCAAGACCGGGTAGGTGTAAACGTTAGTCACTGAGGCCACAGCTTCAGCAGACTCACGAAGCCTACAAGTGATCGCAATGGCTGCGGTCAAGGTCTACAGCTGGCCTGCAAGCTTTTAGACACCGACGCTCTAGGACAAGGACGAGTCTAGTACTCGCTTATGGTAGCACGTGCGAACAGCTTTTCTCCTTTTTCGTCGACGACGTCATTCTTGGATGTGCGATGATGTGTGTGCGGTGGCTGCTCGAGTTGGCGTGTGATTTGCCGTACAGATATGCGAGTGCGAAACGAGTTTCAAGTTTGTAGCTTTCTCGTCCAAGTCACAGACGGTTCGATCAGCGTCAACAAAGATGCCGTGAAGAAGACATAGGCAGACGCTCATCAGTGATCGACCCTTTCAGTGCAGTTTAGCTGATGTAGCAGGTCGATAAGGAGCAGCTTTTGCTTCTTGGCGCAGACTTGGAACTTACTTTTGTCAGTGTGATGTAGCTGTGATCAGAAGGCGCTATTGCGCCCATAACTATTTGTGAAGCTCTCAACCAAGGCTGGTGACAAGTTTAAGCAGGAAAGCACGGCAACAAGCACTTTTACACTCGCCTAAGAGTCGTAGTATTGTCGACACGTTTGTCGTTTCGAATGCGTTTTCGTCCTGCACGAACAGACATTAACGGAAGCAATCAGGATACCAGGTCAAATTACATACTCTCCGCGCTATTGCGATTAGCGGGTTTGAAGATGTCGGGCTCTCAATCGATGTGACGGTGTCAGTGGTAAGAAGTCGGAGAGCTACGGCCACAGTGTCCATTTGAAATTAGAATTGACTGTTGAGCTATTGGCAGTGGCACTGTCAGCTTATTACTAGATTAGGTTACTGCCTACGACTGGCCAACGCCGCCAACCGGGCGAACTGTCTTGACTGGATTTGATATCTCTGCTTGGACGCTCGAAAGCGCAGCGTTGCGTTGCGTAAACAATGGGAGGGACACATCACCAACAAGACTCTTGTTTGCCTGTCAACATATGGTCGCCGAACAGATAGTCACTTGAGGTCTTGACGTACAAGAGATACTGGCCTTTTCGCTGCGCTAGCTCAGACCCGGTCTTCGATCAGTCAGCAAGAGCAAAGAATTGAATCACGTCCTAAGTGCGACCTGTAGTTGAAGTGGCCGAGTCAAGAGCAGTGACACGTCGTGCTAGAAATGCATTTACAATTTAAAAGGTATATCATGATCGGCTTTGGCGTTACCTTGCGGCAGACTATCGAGTACGGCAACGGCTTTACCCTGCCCAGTCAGTTTTGATAGTAATGGTGACACATCTGAGTTGCAACCAGGAAGAGCAAGGCGTAGCGACAGTTCGTGATCCCACTCGCTTCAAAGCCAACATTGCGAAGTGCCATATCACGGCGCGTCGCACTCCCTATCCGACGATGCTTGCGCCGTCTCGGCTTGAACGGCCCCACGCCCAACATTGGTTGACATGTCGGCACCTTCCACCAGCGCGTCTTCTCCAGCTTCGATTTCCTCGTCGCCTCCTGCCTGTTCGACTTCCTCCTCCTCCTCCTCCTCCTCAATGATCTCAGGCACATCAGCCAGCTCATCCAACAGCGCCGCCAAAGCAGGAAAGTCGAGCAGCACATCTTTCGCATTCTTGCTCACCACGTACTCATACGCCTTCTCATCAGATAGGAGTCCAACTTCGTCAATTGTAGCCTCAAGCAGATCGCCACGCTGAAAAAAGCGGTTGATCGTGTGCAAATCCCGCTTCAAAAACTTCTCCGTGTCCGGGTGTGTGCGGTCCACAGTCTGACCAAAGTCAATGAGCCAAATCCGCTTCTCCTGGACTGAAAAGAGAATGTTGTACTCGCTCAAGTCGCCGTGAACCAAGCGAGCACGTTGATACAGCCCTCGCGTAGCCTGGAGAACATCAGCATAAGCGCGAGCCTGCAGCTTCAGCGACAGATCGTTCACCACGTCTTTCAACGTCGGCTCCGGCCATCCGTCAGCGCCTACAAACCACATCACCAGCACGTGCTCCTTGCACACGACTGGCACTGGGGCACGAATGTGACACCTGGCAATACGACGCAAGTTACGGTACTCCTTTTCCGTCCACGCCTTAATCTGCCGACGTTGGTCTTTCCTCTGAAAGTTCAAATCAAAGCGACGATCGCCCGTCACATACTCGTGTCGATTGCTAAACTCGTTCAGCGTCGTGCGAAAGATCTTGACCGCCAACTGCACCGGCTGCCCCGTTGCTTCGTCCGTACCCATAGCAAAGTACACATGGGCCTCCTTGCCACTCTGTACACAGCCGTGTACCTCGTCCAGCTCGCCTCGATTGATCATCTTCTGCAGGATCAACGTCGTGCGCTCGTCCATGACGCCGTCCGTCGTCGCGTGCGCCTCTGCCTCCACTCGACCAGCTCCAAAGCCCTTCTTCTCGCTCTTCTGTTGACGTCGCGTGCTCTCCCGCAGTGATGTGAACCCCTTACCCCGTCCAGCGCCCAGATCTGCGTCCTCCATAGACAACGAACCTGCCACTTGGGCACGGGCAAGAGCTGCTGCACCTGTCACAGCAGCTGGGGTGCGCACCAGTACGTTCACAGGAGCGCCAGAGCTCTCACCAGCAGCTTCGAGCACCCCTTCATCGACGCTGTCAGCGCTCAAAAGGTCCTTGGTCCGGTCCTGCTCGCGTCGCTCTTTGCTGCGCTGGATGTTCGTAAAGACATCGCTCTGACTCTCGGGGTTGAGTTTCCGATGCAGCGCGTCCATCTCCTGTTCGTACAGACTTTGCGCCAATGCCTCGTCCATTAGCGCCTGCATGCTCAGCTGCGGCCTCCCGAGATCAGAGGATTGAGAGCTCCATGGACAAGTGCTCGTCATGCTGGTGGGATGCGTTCTGGTGCTTGGAACGCAAATTCAAGACTGACAGTGTGAAAGGCGTGCGAAGAGCTGAAGGAGAAACGTTTCTATCTGCGAAATGACCTTCATTCCGAGAGACTGCGGACACTGAGGCTCGAAGAGTGATGGGAGCTCGATTTTATCCGGATGGAACGAGCTCGATGAGAAACTGTTAGGTTGTTTCAGATTTTATGGATTGTGGCTTCGACATGGGTGCGATTGGTGAATGACTTCATCCTTTACATTGACTATGCTAGAGCGACATTCTTTCTGAAGTAGCGCATCAATGTGGACTCGCTTTATCCCGATGTCTTCCTGGCTGCGACAGTTCCCTATACCCATATGAGTGCATTCATCACAACTTTCCAGTTTTTGTGAAGCCACCCTTTGACGTCAACATAAGGCTTGGAAAATCGATTGCTAAATGATCACATCAAAGGAGAAGCCACGATACAGAACCGAATTCTGGTAGGTGTAGCAGGCCAACGAGTTTGCTGACGTCCAGATCCCGGTAGATATTGCACGAACACTCAGTTTTTGGCATCGCATTTTTGTTGTTGATGAGCGGTGATGTCCTCGGTGGTAGCGCATGCGCCATCCGAAAACGTGCTTCTTGACGCCGTTGTAATGTAGATTGTAAATCAGTTGAGTCAAGATGCCTTGAGCGGACAACAATACAGATTTTCGGGAGGGTGGCTACCGTTACACTGGATTTGTAATCCATCAACGCTCAGCCAACAACCTCGTCACCGGCGCCGCTTGAAAACCGCGTTGCAGAGGTGGTCGACGTCTGACTGAGCAATGGATTGTCACACATTGGGTGCTGCGGCTGCTAACGGGCAGGTCAACGCAACTGACTGCAGTTGGGAAACCGACAACTTGTCGGAATTAATGGATACATTGATTTTAAGGGAGCGATAAGTGCAAATTTTAAATGATCTCTACGTGCAATTTATGCTTTCAACGTGACGTTAATTGCTATAAGCGTTCATCTATCCATCTTATACGGTAGCAGCGTATAGCAGCGACGAAGGAAACACCTTGACTGTGAAGGCCACTAGTCTATCAGCGTTGCGGCATTCCACATCTTCTAGTCAAAAAGCAATGTCATGTCTACAGCAAGCAATGTCAATCGTCACAATCGAGTGCAGCCGCAGTGTGCGACCTCTTCCAGCTTGAAGTGCGAGCACTTCCGACCAGCAAGTCATGCCCATGCATTCCGTTGCGAAACCAAATTTTGGCTGCAGTAAGCAACGATCACACTTCGCTGTTTATTTCTTCTGAGCGCGAAGGAACGGTGCAGTAAAAAATAACCCGCCAGATTATTCTCGGTATGGTGGCCGATTTCTTACTCCTCCGCTAGTACGACGTGACCGACAACATCTTATCTTCCAGCTTAGTTGATGGTGTACGAGGCTCGTGTGCGCACCTACTTATGTTCAAGGTGCTATGCACGAGACCGTGTGAAGGACGACGACTTGTCCATTGAGAATGCATTTCAAATGAGTAGTGACACAGACTAAAGGAGACACCAGGGCATCATCACTTTAAAGCAAAGTGATATTTGATGAGACGCAAAGTCTGTACATATCGTATGCGGTCATTAACAGCCACGGAATCTTGTCTGTGCGCAATGGGTACAAAGAATTACAAGATTAGTATCTTAATGACGCAAAGTTACTCCAGCTGAAGCGGCTTTCGGTCCACCATGCAATCATTTTTTAGAATCGCACCGAACTAGGGCACGCTTGGGTGCAAAGTCGGATGACCCAGCCGCCACAGCTAGCCTTTACCTAGTCCACAGTCGCTGGAAGTGTCGTTTTGATTTTAAGCCGTGATTTACCGTCTCGAGACATGACACAAGCATCGTCGGGTAGGAGCAACAGAAGCGGTCTTGATCATTGGGTGGGCACCTGCAGGAACGCATGAAGAGAGCAAGATCATTTCGAAGTTTGTACGACCAATGCTGAATGCACGTAGAAATTTGACCTGTGTATCGGAAGTGCCTGGATGCATCGGTTTGTGAACCTGTTTATGACATGTGCTGGGGCCTTTGTGTAAGAGGAAAACACGAATATCGTGATCATATCAGCCTCCTGATCTACGGTCGTTGTCATAATGGAAAATACGATCTACAAGTTTCGGTTAAAAGCATATGATAAGAGGAGGTAAATACAGGCATTGTCGAGCCCTCAAGGTGTCACCACTATATCGTCCAGGGTGGTGAACGTCGTGGACGGGATCTCTCGAATATGCACGAGAGAGACTCTTACAATGTGGACGTCTCAGCAGACAGACGACAATATCTTACCTCTCATTAGCGCCCAAATCATTGTGCGCATGGGCAATCAACTTGTGGTCGTTTACAGCACAGTAAATTTCGTGTATGGCCAAAAATTGACGATTGCTTTACTTTCGCTGCCAAGCAGTGGTGTCGTTTTCTAACTTGTTAAGCAAAACACGTGATGCATTGACACTCGTGAACCCCTTGACATATCAGAGCGTTCATTATTGACGTGAGCTCAAAATGTTATTGTATCCAGTGTGTCTTCTTCTTCCTGGTCGTCAAAAAGCGGAAGGCATCAAATATGGGTTGTCGAAGAATCTCGAAGAGGATGGCAGCACGACAGGCGGATACTTCTAGTTCATAAAAAGAACAAAATGATGCTCGAGACGCCAAGTTGGCAAACTAGAAGCTTCTTTACGCCGATAAAGCAGACTTGTGCATCGTCTACTTTGCTGCACCGTTTGGTAAAGTAGATGTCATAACTACTGAGATCATTGCATTGTGAACCAAAACTCGTAAGTTTAGGATATTACGGCCCGATCCAAATATGCGTCCGCCTTTCCGGGAAACACTAGGGACTTTTCATCGTCAAAATGGCTCTTCCACAAAAGTGCCGTTGTCGAAGACAAATGAACTCGCTTCTCGCAGCGATAAAGTCTTGCGAACTGGCGTGCTAGAGCCTGCCAGTGCGTATGGTCTGCATTGTCCTTGAGAGCTATCGTTATGGAAAAATTGACCTCACGCGAATTATTTTTTACTGAAAGCATGGTGTGCGATGACTATGGTTGACAAACGATGCCGTTTCAATAAGATGTGAGTTGTGCGTCATCGTGCCTCCTGGTCTGATGGCTCGACAGATTAGCTCGTGGGTGCTGGCTGGACTCGTATTTATGGGCTTAATTTTTACGCCGGTGTTGTGTCTATGAGCGATCACAAACACAACCCTTTCCATATGCTTTTGTTATCCTTGAGCTGCTGGATCCGAAAATAATCGACGTCAGTTAGTCCACTACAGCCGGCTCGACAGCATATGACCAGAAGTGACAATGCTTACGGAGCAGCATTTGCCCTAGCACAGTATAAGGTTTGAATTGAATAAATGCTTTCCATTCAGTTTTCCGACGATTTGTACACGACAAAATCACCTTAGGTCCAGCTTCGCGACATTGTGATAGCATGAGTTATGATCGGGGTGAGATGCCTGGTTGCTCCGCTTTAGCATAAAAATTGGGCTGAGAAGCTGGACACCCCGAGCAAAATATCGTCTGCTTGGAGTTGGGTGGCCGTGTAATACTTTTTACGTGACTTTGAACACGCTAAACAACGTACATCCAACGAAACTGTAATGTTTACATAGATACGCGTTTACCGCCACGATTGGGTTGTTGGTCTCGTGGTCATCGGACTGCTGTAATCTTCCAGAGCTCGACCTGACCCTACCCTAACTCTACAACTGGCCTGTTCATTTGTGTTTTGCACGGTATCGTGACCTAAGTATTTTATTATCAAAGCGTATAACTCAAATCTTCACTGGAAGAAACGCAATGAACACAAACTATATTTGTAAGCCTTGCTCTTCACAACTCGTTCCACAGCTCACACTAAACTCTGGGCATTACAAACACTGCATAAACGATATGAGACAACTCTAGTCATGATGTTCGTGCCTCGCACCATTGTTACAGGAGCAGCGCACTATGCTGCTGCTCGATTGCATTCAGCATGACCCAGCAACTGCACCTCTGTCTCGGCCCTGCATCTGCGATTTGCGACCGACGTCTTTCCCATTCGTAACGTCACTTTTGAGGAAACGAAGCGTGCAGAGGCACGCCTACCACGCATATAACGGGCGCTTCTGGTCCCACGAATTTAGCGTTGAGATCTCAACGGCGGCACTTAGTATGAGATGTTAAGCGTTGGTGAATGGATCGTAAACGGTTATAAGGCATAGTTATGCCAAAACTTGTCATGTGACGGTGATCGTAAGTCTCCAACCTTCATTCATTCTTATTCGTAATCTAAACGATCGTCGTGACCGGCAGTGATCTTGTCTTAGCCCCGTCCTGATAATCAGATTATTGTTCACACCGCTTGGGAGAGCAAGTGTTCCATAACAAAGCCGCACGTACCAAGCAGGTCCGGGGGACGATCTTGTTAACTGCAAGAACTTGCATGTGAAGTTAAAAAGTCGCTGTGACAGCGTCATAACGGTGAGCAAAGTGATTGAATAAATCTAGACTTAAATATGGCTTCGGATACCGGCTTTTGACGGTTTCGATAGTAGCAGCATAGAGACGACAATGGCATCAACATTGTTGCGAGACCCCATGCACGTAGTGCACTAGTTGCAGAGCACAAAGGATAACTAAAAGGCAGATTTTTATTGAAGTGTGTAGTGGAGCCTCGTTAATTAGGATATTGAATCGACTCAGAACCAGATAACATTTTGTCGACAAGCTATTTAGAAAAGGCGGGAAGCCATCGATGACTTGCTGATACGATACGTAATGTGCCAACGATCGAATAATTGATTTACATATACAACTGCAGGTGCACAAGCGCCGACGATTTTTCAGTTTTGCTTGCTAACCACTTGTCTGGTACGGTGACTGATCACAATTGTCAGCAATTTTCTTACGTCGAGCTACGGAGCACAATTGTGTGCCCCTGGTCGATCGAAATGGGGTCATCTGTATGCTAGCTGCTTCTAAGAGGGTGCAAGGCTGAGCCCTCAAGTCTCTTTAATCGTAGCTACAGAAGCCGCTGAAAGGTAGGCTATGAACCCCCTTCCCTCCCTGGAATCTTCTGTCCATTCTAATATCCAGAAATGCTTGGTTGACCACCCACTAGAAAGAGTGGCACTTTATGTTGTCCGGTTTACCTTCAACTTCACTTATGAAGTGAGTCGTTCAGTTTGATGTGGCTTGTACGATACGCCCACGTGATGCAAGCACCATGCTGTACAAGAATGTTCCCCCTGATTCAAATAGTCCATCCATGTGTGACCAGGTGGCAAAATTTATCTCCTTGACCGCCTTCGTAGAAAGTGACCGGGCCACTGGTAGATTGTGCTTAACCAAGATCGTGTAGCCGAAGAAGCATATAGGGTTCGTTGAAGTGGATAATTAATGCTATATCCACCGACGCCTGCAGCCAGCTGTAACGGGGTAGCCCGTTACATGATATTGACACCAAACGGTGTCAATAGGGAGATTGTCTAGCGTGACAATCTCCTGCCAAAATCACCCAAGATAGGTAATAATAAGATAAAATATCCCCTTTGGATAATATACATGTGCTGCTTAAAGATTGGTTGATAAAAACTAATCTCCCAAGATTGTTACCAATCACTGCTAGACGCGCGCAATGGGTGGTGAGTAGGTTGTCGTCATACGATATTATAGATTGTGATAGTTAGATACAGACTGAAGTTATATCAACACCTTAACGGTATAAACACTATTATATTTTTACCTTTACTCAAACTAGTAGTTTAAGTAGATTACCTTCCTCTGCGCGTGCGAGTGCACGCGAAGTTATGTGGCGCCCAACCAAACAGGTACTCCTTTACACAAGCCGAATAGACAAGAAGATTGAGATCAACAATGCATGAACTTGAACGCAGGGCGATAGAAAACACTGTTCCATCAGGAAATTTGTTGAATGCTGCATAAACACAAGGCCGCTAATATGGACGAGTATATTGTGCTCCGTGGGACGGGATCTAGAAAAAGGCGGTAGTAATTGTTGGGGATCAAGGGCGTGTAACCCGCCGCTTTTGTCAATCCTTTCAACCAGACAATGTTCTGTCACCAAATTGAGTAAAATCTGTAATTACGTATTTGCAGGAATCATCTCTTTGCAAACGTGACTTTGTGCTGAAAGTCGTTAGATTCACTCCCTTTTCAGTCAGATTCACTCTTTTCATTTTCATGAAGTAAACATTTGAAACAGCCAATCCTGATTGGACAATGTATGTGTTAATCTACACTTTCAGCATGCCGTATAATACGGTATCAATGTGCTTAGACGAGGAGATCCGTTAGTGCATGCATCTCAAGTTCGTACCAAGTATAATCGTCGTACGCAAAGTTCTCATCGCTGGCCTTTTGTGAGCCTGAAGGTGAATCTATGAGTGACTGTGCGCAAGGTTATAAACCGAAAACTTTAATCGTACTTATCTTTCTGTGTGTCTGTAAATAGCGCATTTATGTGTACCTTGCTCGTGCTAAGTACGAGCTAGCCTGTCGCCCCTCGTACGTCATTTGACATGATAGGTGTCACCGTGTGGCTAGGTCAACATTTTGATGCACGCACCTGATTGCCTTAATATTAATCAAAGGTGAATACGGTCACACTAGCAAATGGTCGGCGCTCATATGCAAAGGCCGGACGCGTAGCCCAAGTGTAATGTACCGGTATAACAGATACATTTACAGCATCATATTAAATCTTCAGTGTCTGCCGTTGTATAGATTTTTGCAGGTTGAATTAGTTCAACGAACTGAATTACTTATATTTAAAAAGGGCGAGATCCAGAGCTTGCTCCCTTGTCTTATATGAGTAAAATTAAGAGCGGAATTAATTTTACGTAGACGCACACTTCGATTTTTTATACACTTAAATGTGTCAATTAAAAGAAACAAAAAAGTGCAGTATTGCGTGGTGTTTCTAATAACAGCAAATCATCTTGTAGCCACGCGGTACTACACTTTGTGATGATCCTATGTGGCATCTTCTTTGTTGTCTGACATCTATATCCCTATTTCTGCTGATTTGTAAATGTGTATACATGAGCTTCATCGTCTTTGTCGCCACCATCGCTTTCTTCGTCTTCTGCTTTCACCTTGTTCCATAAAATATCTTGTAATTTTCATATTACTATCCTTCTCGGTTTAATGTCATTTTAATCACGCGCGACCACCGTTTTGGTTGTATGGTAAGTATAAACAGGATCGTTTGTTCTCAAGTATGCAGCATTGTGGCCTTAAGGTCATTTATAACGAATTTTGTGAAATTCGTAAACTATCACTATACTTAGACTCTCTTATCCATTAGCTTATAATTACACGCGAAAAGTGTACAAAAAGAGCATTGCCGCCATCGTAATTCCTTATAAAATCGCCCTGTCTAAGGTAATGACAATTGGTGTGGCCACTAGGCCACCGAGCAAAGCCGTGGATTCATAACTTTTATTCGGCTTGCGAGAATTAAAAAGAAAAACAAGTGCACTTCGCAACTGAATACAATCAATGACAAAAACTTGTTGCGACAAGCGTTTGCTTTACGAAAGAAAAAGAAAGTGAACATATCAATTACCTTCTTTTTTCCATCTAAAGAATGTGAACATCCGATCACATTCTGATGCTATGCTTACTGCCGAGGATGACGCAAAATTCATACTTTAAGTTTTTGAGCACGTAAAGAGCAAGTCTTGTTATCAGCACCACAAATGTGCAAAAGTCCATAAACCAGTACAATACTTAATTTAAGCATAAAGTTGTACTTGTTGAGTATAGTACTGAAACACTGCTAATCACATAATACCGATCCACAACATGGAATTAAAAACTGTATTCGCTACTAACGAGTCTTTCCATCTATTAGAAAACTGTCAAACGTTTGGCTTCACACTCTCCATTTTGAACAGTAATTCGTTCACTAGATCAATTTGCGTCCACGCGCTGATCTGCCCACTAACAGCGAGGACACTACGTGCGATCCCGGTCGCACAAAGTCGAATTTTAAGTAAAAGTAGAAACCCTCTATGATACAAAACCCGTTTGTTGTAATAGCAAAATCAGGTTAGCTCTTGCTGTGTTTGGTATCGACTAAGCAGTTTAAATTTGCGTGCTACATCCATGTGTATATGTAGCAGCGCAAGGTGTACGACTGACAGGCAGAGAACCAGCTGTTAAATGTATTTCGTGGTGCGTACTCGTATCAGTTCGTTTGCTGTGATAGCAGCAGGTCAGTTCTTGCTGGGTTTGAGGCCGACTTTGCTGCCTGAAAGATGCGTTTTAGCAAAATTTCTTTCGATCTAATTATTGTAAAAATCTTTTACTCTAGGTTATGAAGACTATTATTATATTCACGATGGCTAAATTTAGCGATCAGCCACTTTTATAGTTTAAACGCACTATTTACAATGTGCATGCCACCGGTCAGCGAAGATGCATCACGGAATGCTACATGTATCTTCAGACGCACCAGCACCGGGATCTCCTCCTCCTCCAAAACTTCCCAAATTTGGCTTCGTCGTGAGATTTTCAACCTTCGAGGCGTTTACTTATGGAAAATCGACTGAGGATACCGTCTCCTTCACCTGCGCTGTGGTCTTAGACACTATAATTAACAAACAATAAGCTCTGGCGGGACCGCAATTTGTGCCAACCCCTCACGAGACGACGAGTTTTCTCCAACATCCCTTACGAGACTGCGCTGCCATTTACGCTCTGTGGACGGTAGCCGCTATTTAGAAGCAAGAAGAAAGCGTTGTGCTGTTATTATAATTCATCAATCTCGGAGCTTTCATCTTCATCATTTGAATCAAAATGAATTGTTGCGCCTTTTTAGGCTCCATAGCTTGCTCATTCTTTACTTCCTTTTCGCCTTAAAAAACGAATTGCTAAATTCACACCCCATTTACTTAGATTCACACCCTTCCTTCAAAATCTTATAGATACAAGGTACGCGATCGCCTTTGGACAAAGACGAGTACTTTCTCTGCCACTTGGCTACGGGCGACAACTTGCGCGCTGCTGTAGCTACTGGCACCGACATAGGCAAAAAGGTTAAAGCCGTGATGGATTCGGGCGCACTTGTGACCGACGATATTGTCGTCAATTTCATTAAGGACGCCATCAAGAGTTCGGAATGCCGTTGTGGCTTTGTTCTTGACGACTTTCCACGAGCGGTCGTGCAGGCCAAAAAAGGTGAGAACAAGAGGAGATACAGACGAGTGTCCTGGTTGCAACGCAGCGGCTGACCGCAGTTCCCTGTTTTTGTTTGTGGTGCTGTGCAGCTTGACGAGATGTTGACGAAGGAAAACACCTCGGTAGATGCTGTAGTAATTATTAACGTGCCGGAAAAAATGCTGGTTGAACGTATTGCAGGTCCACGCGTGCACTTGGCTAGTGGCCGCAGTAACCATGTCAAGTTTGCTCCTCCAGATGTGGACGGCAAGGACGACACTACGGGCGAGCCGTTGATTCAGCGCAAGGAAGACAATAAAGCCACGCTTGGCTCGCGTCTAGAGGAGTTTTACAAGGAGACGCAGCCCGTGATTGACTTTACCGTGAGCAGGGAAAACTGGTGGAAGTGAATGCTCACACGGAAATGCATAAGGTGACGAAGCACATCCGTAAGAGCCTCGGCTCGGATTAGAGTATTACACGCTTCGTTTTGCCCATCCTGACTGCTTACAGACATCAGAGCATGCTTCACGGACAGCCTGTCAGTTTGCTACCCTCAACCTATTGATCATATGTTAAGTACGAGATGCATGAATGTCGACGTCTTCTCGACTTGCGTGTAACGTCTTTTAACGGCCCATCTTTTGTTATTGCGTGTTGCCCTATCAGTAAACGCTGGAGGAGCTAGACCACAGGCGTAAGTAGTATATTAGGTATTTCTTACGTTTTACTTGCCAATTGATGGCCTAGATTATCGAGTAATACCTTTGTCAGAAAACAAATCTTAAAATGAATAGGGATTTTTTATATAAGATTTTGAAGGAAGGGTGTGAATCTAAGGAAAAGGGGTGTGAATTTAGCACTTCCCTACAAAAATTCATCGTTTAAAAAGGGGTGGTCGATCGTCTATAAGTCCGTCGTCGCGATGATTGGACTTTTTAATGGCCGGATTTTCTTCTTCCATCGAATAATTTCTAAAGGCTACCTGAACATTGCATCCATGACGCTGTTCGATTCAGCTGGTGTCATGGATCAGCCAATTTGACGTGATGTACACGTTCTAGTTATACGGTCTTGCTCGGATGAGTGTCCAGCTCGAATTGGTCGCCAGACGTAGGATTTCTTACTCATCAGCATCTCACTTGTAATACGCAAACAATTCACACGCTCAGTATCCCAGTTCATCGAGCTGAAGCTGTCGAAGTTCAGATGCGTTTTGTGAAGCGCAGACTCAGCTAACTGTTTTACTTTTTTAAAAAGCATCATATTCGTTGGAGGGCATTATTTTGCACCCCAAACCTGTCGTGTGGTCTTGGAATGCCTGTTCACGCTCATTGTCATTGCTACGAACTCGAGGGGTTACCTCCTTTTCCAGCTCATGTGTCTAGGTAGACACATCCCGAGCGAATTTCGTGCTGTCAGTGTTGGCAAAGAGTAAAGCACGTAATTGGCCTTCACAAATGGATTAGTGAGATCTGGTGTCTATTTGGCTTAACAAAGGGGGTCACAAGCTCGAAGAACGTGTCATTGCCCAGGAACTCTTTTGCTTAGTCAACCAATAAATTCTCCGTCGATATTTCTGATATCCGAAAGACGCATTGAAGCACCAGATGTTGCTTTTTGGCTTTCCTAACAAATTCTTCCGCATCATTTAAAAAGCAAGCCCCATCAGCGGTCTCTCAGCACCGCCATCTGTGTATGTATGTGCACCAAAAGACGCACGCGGATAATCATAAAATGCCTGCAGCTCCGCAAGTGTTTTTTTACACAGTCCACTGGACGTACGACTTTCATCCCGCGCATGCACTGCCATCAATTTTTACATTCACAAAGAAAAGTATGTATTCGTTAGATCATCGGAATCGACAGAGAACATAAGAATCGCTGGACAGCCTATCACATTTTGCTAGACAGCATGTCGGTCAGCCTGTTGCCCTTTCACTGGTTAAAAGCACGTCTATTTGTGCGCCGATGCACTATGCGGCCGCATCGACTAGCACTCATTGCACCAAGCCGACCGTATTAATCGAGAAGCATAAATTAGCGTCCAAACATTTGGTAAATAAAAAGTTTCATATTGGCACGCCACCTGGCTACATCGAGTTCGAGAAGCTTTTAGCATGTCGTTGCTCAAAGGGATTGATGCGAGCTGTAATACACGTAACACTCTTTTGCACAGAAATGGAGCAACTCAGTAAAACGCCGAGAGAGCTCGTGACAGGCACTATGTAAAGTATGAACGCTGTGGCGAATGTCGTGCACAAGGCATTTAAGCTTCGACGTAACTGAAGATGATTCAAGGTTTGTGTAACTAAATCGTTCTGCATGTTGTGTAACTGTATACGGTGGATGTACGAATGGAGCGTGGGTATGACAAGCCGAAGAACAAGCACAGCGAGTTATACTCCTATCAGATAATAGTTAATTCTTCTTTATACGGCGCTTCGATCGGAGGTGCAGCCGTAGCGCCACAATGACATTAGAATAAACTAAAGCGTCGGACTCACCGTAAAGGATCCTTTAATAAAATCCGAAGCCTCCAAAGTTTGGCTTCCGATTAGTATTAGAGCCGGCCCACTGTGCACGCAGTCGTAAGGTGGGCGCTGATCCTTGTGAAAGAAGACGTATTTAAAGCCAGTGAAAGGGCATCCGGCTGGCAGACAGGCTGTCTAGCAACACGCGACAGGTACTTAAGCTACTCCCATAGAGCACAGCAAGAACTAAATGGAGTGTGCGCAAAATTCGTACGGCTGTTTCGTACTCAGTGTAAAGACTCGTTAGCAATCACAAAGGCTCATATCTCAGATTAGAATTGAGCATAGTGTAAATAAAGCTAATCATTCTTAATTTATAGTTGAGTTGAGTAGAGGACTGGATTGAGATACTTACCTTTTATAACTGAATGTGAGATAAGCTGCATGTAAAATTCGCCTGGGCACAAAGCGCGGATCCTTTTTAACACTACACACAATAGCCAAGTCACCTAAATAGGACGAACATGAAGAATGGGACATTTCAGTTCAAACAAAAGAATTTTGTCAGATACACTCCGCTTTATAATAAATGCATCCAATAAACCACACCCCTATCACACCACGAAAGAGCTTTTACGACCAATATCGCGCCACTATACATCGATGACGACCACCGAAGCACAAAATAATGCATCAATCGTACACGTGTTATGTAATTTGCCAAGCAAACTTCGTTAAGCACAAAATGGATATTAAAGATCTTTGCCTATAAAATCGATCTATTTAATGACCAAGATAAACTCGTCACTACATGTCAATTTCGTCTGGGGCGTCATTCGCATCTTCCAGAGATGACAAGAGCCAATTTCCAGTCGATAAAGGCTAAAGAAAGATTGAAAGAAAGGTTAAAGTGTCACAAACGCAATAAATGCACCGCTGCAGTGAAAATCACTTTTAAACAGAGATTGCATGGTACAACGATTTGCATTTTTTATCGAGCCTATCCTGTTCCCGTGTCAGGACCGGGTCATTGGTTTCGATAAAAATCTGTTTCGCTCAGTGACCTCTAGAATTTTTTAGGTGATTTCATTAAGTGCTAAATCTCAATTTTGATGTAATTTTAAAGTAAGTGCGTCCCCACTGCACCACTTACACTTTTTCCTTTAAAAAACCTTCATACTTTCGATTACCACTTCAAATTTGGACTGGATCCCCACCTCTCTTGAAAGCCTACACATTCTGAGCTGCCACTAATGTACGTCTAATCTTCGCACGCACTTCCTGTGAGCTCTGAATGCTTGAACACTTAATATTTATGAGACCTTGCTAAAAATCTCCACTTGCGTTTGCTACGGGCAGCAAGTGTGGCAAATATTGATGTGGCGTTGTCACCTTTTTTAGGCGGTGCACCCCTTGAGTAAAATAGTAAGGGTTAAGCTCCATAGAATACACTCATACCGTACCATAATAGGGTTTGGACGAGAAAAATTGCGCCACCATGCCTCTGTAATGTATTTAGCATACATTGAGGTGCATGACGACTGTTCAGGGGTCATAGGACAAGTCGTTTACGAGGAAAAATATGTTGCTGTCCTTTGCGTGTCAAATGAAGGTTTCTTGGCAAATCACGTATCATGTAAACGAATGATGCATAATTTCGTGCTTTGGTCGCCTTATAGATGTTTGATGGCGCGATGCTTGCTGTAAAAATCAAATTGTGGTGTGGAATGGTTGTGGTCTTATGGGTGTATTAAGCATTTAGTGGTGTGTATTTTATTTTACTATAGACGGATAAGGTAACTAGGCCGTGTATTAAGCGAATAAAGTAAGAAAAATAATCAAAATTATGTAGAACAGAGATATAAGATTAAAATTGGTTTCATCAGATACAAATCAGTTTGGGTCAGCATCGACCGAGTGATCCCCAACTTTGTCGGTCTTTTTATTTTTTCGTTGTCAGACTGATAATAATACTGGTTACGGAACAATGAGATATCGGCGATCGAGTGATTGTTTTTTAAATAGTGTAATAGTTATCTCAACATTATTTAAATTGGTGTTATATTTACCATATCGTAAAAATGTTTACGATATACCCCCGCTTAGCGATCTGCGGCAATTTTAATAAGCTATAGGTATGTCGCTAAAGCAAAAACTTGTATAACTTGTTATTAAAATGCTTTAAGTAATTGCTTAACATACATACCTCTTTTGTTAGTGGGAAGTTAGCTCAATGCTTGCACTAAGTTTATGTGACAATTTTCAATCTCTGAGCACAAATTTTTCTACACATTTTTTATCAAGACGAGCTATAGTCCATTCATTCTTGTACTTTACATCATATTAATCCAAACATTTCGGCTTAAACGGGTGCATTGTGCATTTGACACTTCACGTTTTAACCACTTCAGTTGCCGAATTTTGCTGTTTTGCATTTATCGTTTGTTGAATGTGTACCAAACTGAATGCTGCAGCACCTTGGCCTCGACCCAGTCAGATATTAGCTGCTCCTCCTCTAATCCAAAAGACAATCATTAGCAAATTGAAGCTGGTAAATTTCATTAAGATGATGTGAAGAGACCACGGCAGTGCTTGGTACCTACAATTTACAAAAACGCTCGAGTAAAACATGGGTGCACGGCACCAAAGAAATCAAATCTTTAAAACCTGACTTTATTTTTGGTCCCTGAAACCATATGTTGCTCTGTAATAAAAAACAAGTGAACGGACTGATACGCACGCACGAGATACATGCAAGAGCGCTTTAAATCATCATACGGATTATCAAATATAGGTAAATAATTTAAAGCTTCGACGAATTCCATGTTGGGAGGTACTTGTGCCAAATATAATTCTTATGGGCATCCCAAACAAGTGGATAGCCTAATACAAATGGTAACATGTCACAAAATGTAGTTGGCTCAGATATGAATGAT